TTACATTAGGTACATTAGGGCTTCATTAGTTAACATTAGTTAATTCATTAGTTAACATAAACTGCCAATTTCTGAACATTTTATTTATATAAAAGGTATATTTGTGTATAAAGTTGGGTATCATAGTGTTATTACAATTCCCGGTCCCGCCCACTCCCGCTGACATTTTTTCCTGTCCCGTCCCAATCACGTGATTAATAGTGATTTTGTTTCCCATCCCGCGGGATTCCTGAAAAATGTCAGCCTCTAATTTGAATACAAAAACACAGTTTAAAGTGGAGTATAAAAGTGCGAGGTTTCTAAAAAAATAATGAATAGAGCATAATATAATGGCTACAACAAGGTTTAATCTGGCTGCAGAAGAACACAACTGGGTTGCCTGATATAAAGAGACGTAATCCCTGAAACGGAGCTTCCCACTTGCGCAATACGGAAATATCTGCTAAGTGTGCTACTTATCTTTGTCAACTTGGCAACCATGTGTACGCGCTCTCTCCACTGTTGATAAACGCGCTTGCTTTCTGAAAACACCGGTTAGCTTGCAGTTTAGCGATTTCCACTTCAATATTCTATTCTCAGAAAAGTGTAATTCATCAAGTGTTCATTTATGAGAGAGAGAGGCTGTGTAAGTATGAATTACCACCGTTTTTCTGTGTTTCTCTATTAACAGTGAAGCTGTGGCTTTAATTCCTTTAAAAACAATGATGTTACCAGCTCCTTGTTAAGAAAGATAATGTAGCTCTTGAGCGATTAAGCTATTTAGTTGATAAAAGTGCGGGGCAGTGCTAAAAAGTTTGTTCCTGAATGTCTGAGTGCGGCCGCAACGTGATCTGTGTGAGTGACTGAGCGTGTGTGTGTGTGTTAGATACAGAAGGCAGCGCATTAGTTTAGAACTCTTCTAATTTTTGTATTTATTTTTTAAACGTAGAGAGTGTTAATTTGTGCAATGATAACCTACCAGCAATGTTAAGATGATTTTTTAATATATTAGAATGAGTACATTACAATATAAATTTATTAGAATGAGTACTTTATTATTTATGGGCTTAAAAACAAGATGCAAACAATCAGAATATTGTACCTGGTGGGGAGTGCCCAATGTAAACATGAAACATATGCCATTACCTATATTGTACTGTGGTACAGTTTTGGAGGCCCTTCATAATGCAGAGGTCAACTGCCTGCTCTGCCAATAGTTAGAAATGGCACTATAGTATACAGCGTTTAATAAACAGCTGTTTTACCAAATTCTGCTGAGGTGAAATACTGAGGTATCGTATCGTGGCCTAAGTATCGTGATACGCATCGTATCGTGACTTTGCTGGTGATACACAGCCCTACTGATTATAGCACTTAAAACCTGGAAAAGTCAGATTTTCATGGTATGCCACCTTTAAATGTAATTCTAGAAAGTTCACAAATGTGTATAACTATACAAAAGGGCCTCCACTGATGGCCTCCCGTCGTGTGACATTCATTCATTAAGTACCTTACGAGTCATGTGATGCTTACTTTCAGTTCACTTTCTTTCACTTCACTTTACATTGTGGGAAATCACCGCAATACATTTCAGGAAGTTTCACACCGAGGTGGATATTTTTGTCGTGTTGCTAGTTAGGATGATACAGTTGAACTGCTTTGACAGCAAGCTGCCACTGAGCATGTGACTTTCATGTAAATAAATATTATTTTAAAAATTGCACTAAATTCTAAAAATATACAATAAAGCATATACACTACCGTTCAAAAGTTTGTGGTCTGTTTAGATTTATAATTTTAGCAAGGATGCATTAAATGAATAAAAAAAATCACAGTAAGCACATTTATAATGTTACAAAGATTTCTATTTCAAAATAAACGCTGTTCTATTTATCTTTTTTTTTTAAATCACATTTTCCACAAAATAAATTAAACATCATTCACAACTGTTTAAATGATTTCTGAAGTTTCATGTGACACTGAAGACTGGAGTAATGATGCTAAAAATTCAGCTTAGCATTACAGAAATAAATTACATTTTAAAATATATTCACATAGAAAAGTCATTTTAAATTGTAATACTATTTCATAATATTATTTTTTACTGTATTTGTATTTGAAACTTCTTAAAAAAAACAAAAAATGTTTGAACAGTAGTGTATGCATTATTACTAAACCAAGACAATATGGTAAAAATTACTAATACTATTAGTACAGTTTTATTATTAATCTGTATGGCAAATCTGAAAAAAATGAAATTGAATATTAATAATATCATATGGAAATAATACATGCAAGATTTTATCAAGACTGGATTGTATGGAAACACACTAGTCTATGATATTTATGGTTTATATTCTTTTTTTCTTTACTCATATGGACTCAACAGATAAAAATAGTTTCAGGTCAAATTTGTTGTATTTTTATAAAAGATTAATAAAAACGAATTTGCACATGACACTCTTAACATGACACTATAAGAACAGGGATATTTATTAATAAAGTAAATATTAAGAAAATATTATAGCTGCATAACAGTGCATTTGTGTTCTTCAAATAAAATTGTGCATATTTAAATATCCTCAGACTCGGAGGTTATATGGAAATCCCCTTCTTCTGATATTGTACCGCAGGTTTGGCACATTGATTCAAGCACATTCCACAATACAATTCACTCGGCACT